CTGAGTCCTGCTTAGGTCGCCTAGTCATGCATGCCACCGCTGTAATGAAAAGGGATGGCCTCCAACCTACTTGCGATGGCCTCCAACCTGATGGAGGAAAAAACATCTCTGCCTGGGAGACCCCGATTTTGTGAGAACCCGAATGGGGGGGTGTTACCCGGGTATACCTGCACCTCTCGAATTGAAGGGCGCCCTGTTGAGATGGTTCTGGTTGAGAGGCTCGGAAAGTGGGGGTTTTGGACCCAACATGTAGCATCATATAGCAGTTGGTTCCTCTAAGTCTCCAGGTCCCGATGGGTGCCGACTCAGTCACTCCGCCGGGCTAGGTTTGGTTTGACAGCCCTATAGGTTTGGTGTGCGGAAAAAAAGGGACGAACAAAACCACCAGACCATGTCCGACATCATCCATCCTGTGGACTGGGAATGGGACCGACATCGGGGACCCATAGTTCTTGTGACGGGCAAGGTTGGCAAAGCCCGAGCACTCCCAGACCATCCATGGGGCTGGAATAGTTACACTTGCATGGTCAGCATTTTCATGGGGTGAATGCATGCATCATTTAACTACCTGGAGCAAAACCGTAATGACCAAAAAAACGGCCACGGCCGTACGACCAGGAAAATTCAGCCATTTGCAGTTTCAGGTATTCTATACATGAAGGATGAAGGGATGGTCTGCTGCCAAACCACGCATCCTCCGACCGTCACCACGACTCCTTCGGTGAACTCCCGTGGCTCGGTCCACCGGTGGAGAGCCACCGGTGAACGGATGCCGAGCTCATCGGGTGGACACCCACACCGGTGCCGTCTGGAGCTCCGAGAAGACCGGTGAACTTGGAGGATCCAATCGGTTTTTTTTGCGCTTTGAACCGGAGAGGTCGAAGAAACAACAGCATGAATGTGCCAATACCTTTTAAGTATCAAACATATGACGTATGTATAATTAAGTATAGATCTACAGTACATGTTTGTGTGTTCTCTTTTTCCTGGGTGAGATGAATGATCGACACCAAAAAGGATGTATGGACATTCTTCTCTGAGGAGTCCATACATGTCACATCCCAGGTTGGAGCCATCCCAGAGTTGGGCAGTGCCCAGGTGAGTTTTCACGGAAACCGAATGCATCTTCCTCTTGAATCCTGAACAAAAAGGAAGCCCAGCATCACAAAGCACGTAGATTGTAGAACAGTTATAGTATAACTTGTCTGACAATTCTTTGGACCATGCTACAGGAACCGCAGGGGGGATAGGGCAAGTGCGCATAAGGATAACGCAGGAAGCGCACATGAGCATGCAGTGAGCCTGCAGTGAGAAAGATTCTACTGTATTCGTGGTTACTCTAAACCCAAATAATGCAACACTAAAAACTATAAAGACTTCCGGAACAGCAAACTCCCTGGGATGGATGGAATATTGCAAACTAGAACGTTGATGTTCTGATCGATTTATATGGATTTTTGAGGTCTTCCCAAGGCACGTCCAAAGGCATGATCTTGCTTGGTTCTGAACGGCCCTGTGATGTGTTGAACAAATTCAACATATCCTGACCACCTGGCGTCTTTTCTTCGCTGTTCTCGAAAAAGAGCAGAGCAGCTTAGCGTCTTCTCCCAGCCAGGCGGCCAGATTGTAGGTGCGGCGCAGCAATGTGATGGCCCCGCGGTAGTCCCGGCTCTTGATCTTGCCTAGGCGCAGGAGAGAAACAATTCTTAGTAATGATGGAGGGGGCAGGTTACGCATGTGGTCTTGTTACGCATGTTGAGCTGCAGTTGCCGAAGCAAAGGAACAAATGTATCCAAGTTGTCGTGACAAGTGATGACCAAATGACCAGGCTATACATGGCTACACCTTGGACATTATTCCCTTGGTATTGGGCCACCAGAGGGACTCAGCTATTCAGGTGGAAGCTCGTTCCCTCAAGGTGGAAGGAACACCTAACAGCAGGAGCATCCAAGCAGAACTGTCATAGATTCATTAGAAGCATGTTCAGTCATTGCCATTTTGATAGTCTTGAAATATGTCTATACTATGTTTCACATCAAGGCCGCTCAATCCTCAGTTGCATGTAGCATAGCATCCATGTTTAAGATATATCGAGATGTGCACGTTGATATGCGAGCAAAAATATAACTGATATAATGCACATCTTGGAAAGTACTAACCTGGACCTTCCAACTGCCAAACAATTATGGTTGTTTTGGTTTTATGGTCGTTTTGGTCGTTTTGTTTGTTTTGCATTATTTTGCGGATTTTTGTGGTCGTTTGCTGTTTTTTTGCGCGCGTTTTGTGCTAATTTGCGGTCGTTTTGTCGGTTGCGCTGATTTGCGTTAGCGCAGAAAACCGGGTCAACAACCAAAACCACCAGAAATTGTTGGTCGTTGGAAGATCCAGGAAGATGGGTTGATTGCCCAGAACGGAGATCGAATGAGTGGTTCATGCACGACTGGAGCTTTCGTCTTTAACATCAACCCTTGAACACACCTCTCCCCGTCTCATGGTGGAAACAAGTCCGAAACTAAGCCTTGTTCAAACCTAGAAGTCAATGGTTGAGGCCTAACCCGTTTCAAAGTTAGGCCTCAAGCATTGACTTGGCACACCACATCAAATCCTAGTTGAGCCCAAATGAGTGACTTGCACGTCTCCAGCACGACTGCACGACTGTCAACTGCACGACTGAGACCCGGAAAGCAAACGAAGAACACACAAGGCAACCGAGAAAGCACACGTTGAGGACACCAACTGAGGAACAAGTGCATCGCTACTAGTAACAAGTGCCTTACTAGTAGAAACAATGTTCGCTATTAGGAACAAGTGCCTTACTACTAGTAACAATTAGAATTTAATTTAAATAGCTGAGGCAACCCATCCAAATAGTAATCTAAATAGTAATTTTTTGTTAAATAGCTTCTTGTTACTACCCGTCTGAGACCTCTCCGACCCGTCCACGACTCTCCGAGCGTTTGAGTCTTCTCCAACCACGGCGCCGTCGGCCACCTCCGCCTGACGGTCCACGACCGCCAACATGGCCTCATCGCGGTCCTGCCGAGTGAACATCGGTCATACCGGTGAGCGTGGGTTCATTTCTCTGTAGTTGGGCATGGAACACCAATAGAACATGGATTATCCATTGAACATCAAAAAAAATAACATGTATGCTCAAAACTATCTCAAAACGCATACAAACTCAACAAGCGCCCCCTGCAAGGATATTCAAAAAGCATCTGAGCGCAGAATGGGCTGTGTCGAGCACCAACCAACCAACCAACCAACCAATCCTTCGTCCCTGCTCCACGTGCGCCAACCAAAACGCTGCTCCCCCTCGCACTGTCTATAGGTGTCTATAGGTGTCTCCAGGAATGGCGCTGCCATCTCCGTGCCGCTCCTTCGCCGTCTGCAGGGCATTGGGGCCCATGGGTCGCTTCGGATCAAAGGCATCTGGGCGGATGTTGTAACCTCTCGCCGCGTCGCCAGGGAGACCGCCACGCGGGGTTTCCCGTCTCGGGTAGACGCGATGTTCTCGGAAGACGACCGCATGGGGATGGTTCTGTGGTGCTTGGGTTTTTGCATGTTGAAGCAAAACAAACACCTGAAGTCAGAGATGTCACCGGAAAAGTAAAAAACAAAAAAAAGTGAGTGTTTTCAGTGAGCATGTTGAAGTCAGAAGTCACCTCTGAAGAAGCGAATGCGACGAACGAACGAACGTCCAAACCCGGCCCGATCGACCCCTCGGACCCCTCCGTCGGCCCCGGAGCGCCCGCCGAATCAAGCCGAATCGGTCGGTTCGAAGGAAACACCCGGATGGACCCCGCGTTTGGTCGCGTTTTGCAAATTATTGGAGACTGGTGCTACTGATATCTACCTGGATCTTCCAACCCAACAAATTCTGGTAGTTTTGGTTGACCCGGTGTTCCGACAAAACGACCGCAAATTAGCACAAAACGCGCGCAAAAAAACCAAATCCGCAAAATAACGCAAAACAAACAAAACGACCAAAACGACCATAAATTTTTGGTAGTTGGAAGGTCCAGGCAATCGAGTATTCCCAAGTTGGATGGCACGGGTGATGTCTCTTGTTTCGTGTCGTGGGTGTCTGGATGGTGTCTGGATGGTGTCTGGGTCCTTCGTTTTGGTGTCTTTCTCTCGCTGAGCCACTCGCCAATGTTGGCTTCGAAGCGATATCCAGTGCCATGGCGGTTTTCTATGTCTTGGATGATCGGATGACCGTTCTGTGGCTGCTGGGATTGCTGGGAGGGTGCCAACGAAATCTTTTCCACTTTTTCAAGGCAACTGTCTTGAAGATAAACCTTCTGGGGCAACAGCAGGTGAGGTTGAACTTCCTAAAGGAGTGAGACAGTCGACCTGTTGCAGGAATTCCGTCCGAAATGTATGGATTCGCCGTATGAAGCACTTGGCATCAATCAGGTTGGTGTGAATTTTTGGCACTACTTCCATCTATTCTGGATCCTCTTGAGAAGTTAGTCCATCGCAGTGCACCTTGCCGTGTCGCAGCTTTTAAAGGTCCAAACCACGTTGACTCTTCGTTGAAGGTGCCCCTTCGCTGGAGAAACCAGATGTTTCCTTTGGGGGAGCGTGGCATGCAGTGGAATGCTCCATGCCACTGCAAAGTACTGCATGGACCCTGTTTTTCCAAGGTGACACGGCCGTGACACGGCCGTGGAAGAACATCTTGACACACCACTTTTCAGGGTCCGGTTTCGGGAATTTCGCATCAGTGGAGTGAGTGAAGACGCAGTCTCAGAGTTTCTTTACAAACTCCTCAAAGGTGGGATTTGCTTCCTTTCATGGATGCAATATGATGCAATCCTTTAGGTCTTCTTCATTCTCCAACTTCCTGGTGGAGGACTTCATCGAATCACATCTTCTTTGATTGGTGCAACGAAGCTTGGAACAGCACGCAGCCATCGCTGCTGATATGTAATTTAGGGCAGCATTGGCTGTGAAAACAAATGAAAACAAACATAGGAGCTTAGCTAAAGCCTACAGGGCCTACAGCTATGTGCTTGTTTGAGCAAGCTTCGTCTCGAAACCGGGGGGGCGACCAGAACAGCTATGCACCTTCCTTTCGCTTCCTTTCATCTTTTATCCATGACAAATGACCGTTTTTGTCCGTAGATCAACACCCTTGCTACATGTTCATCATTCCCTTTTTGTGTGGGTGTCAGAGGATGATGTGGGGCAACAAAAGCAAGCATCCTGCCAATCAAGACAACTCTTCCGGAAGTCAGAATCTCATGCCGCCACAGTCGAGTGCACGCTTGCGCCAGCTGGTTTCATGAAACATTCATGTGCCCATAAACCAGCACCTCACTGATACGACATCAGGCACTTCCTGGCATCGCGGACCCATCGGCTTCCCCAGCCGGCCGCGCGGGACCAGTCCTTCGCTCCGTTTCTCGCTGTTGGACCGAACCCGAACTCACGGCGCCACCCGCGCGCGCACGACCGGGCGCCGCTGCTCCGCGGGCGGCGGATCAGCCACCTCGGACGGGTGACCCGGCTCTCCAGCTGGGCTGTAAGAGGTCAGTGGGTCATGGATGGGTCATGGGTCATTTTCATGAGGTACAGGGTACATGTTGGGGGAGTCCTGTTAGGATATACTGAAGGTAGGCAGGTATAGGTGTATCTATTGTGTGGACTCAATAGGCACACTGACCCCCAGACCCAACAGTTTTGGTCTATGTTCTTTCTTCCAGGGAGTCTTTGGGAGAAATCCCTATTTTGATCCACACCCAGTCCAGTCCCATGGATGGTCTGGGGATGTCCCGGTGAGCTGTGAGACACATTGAAAATCATTGAAACTCAGCAACAACATATTTAACCAATCATCCTGAAGATGCGAAGACAAACATTGGGTCATCCAAACAGTGCCAGCGGTTTCATTGGACGTGGCATTTAGAAGTTTGATACTGCGCTACTCCAAGATGTTTCCCAACAACAATCCAAGAGACTGGAATATGTACCTACATTCAAATTCACCCTGAACACGTTTTGAGCTGGACAAGGCAATACCCATCACATCATCTCCCAGTCCCATAATCAGAGGTTGGTCTTCCAACCCGAATACTGAACTTCAACTTCTTCACGACACCGACACCAGCCCAGCGCATCGGTGTTTTTCAAACGATCCGAATCGCGAACAGACCCGGACCTCAGACCTCAAAGACTCGATGGCAACGGCGACAGGTTGGTCCGGTCCCCGAAAACGCTGAGTTCTGTTAGGTTCTGTTTGGTTCAAAGACCAAATCCGCTTGGTCCAGTGGATTTGAATTCTTCAATGCCTCATGTGGTTGGTCCTGTCCCCAAAAGATTCTTATGACAGTCCGGTATGTTGAGGTTTAATTGGTTTTATCATCCAAGTGGGAGGGGTTATTAATCAAGCATCTGCATGAAGTTGTTTGATCGTCCAAAACACGAGCTGCCCCAGCTCTGGCCCAGAACAACATGTCTCTTTTACCGTTTTGAATGGGTCCGGTCCGTCTCGTAACAAACATCACACCTGTGGTACACAGCTGCAGCATGGTCGACCCTCAGTTTCAGGATCTGGGTCCGGGGTTTCGCCTTGGGGAAGCTGTGGTTCTCCGTCCAGATGGACCAGGAGGAACGACGGTCCAAGTGACTGAACTTGGAGAAAACGATGATGGCACAGGAGACACAGAAGAAGTTGAAGACGAAGAACACTCCCATGCTCTTGAAGACAAACCTGAACCAAACAACACACGGTGGGCGTCCAGCAACGTGGCCCAGTGGCAAAACAACATTGAAAACCACATGGTAGCTGGGCCTTTGCATGATCTTTGCGAAGTCTTGGGCACTTTCAACAAAACCCAGTGGGTCTTGTTTAGAGTTCTCCTATAACCAATGGGTGTTCCCTTTTCTACGAAACAAAAGGGTGATGTTTTGAGGACAATCATAACCACATGATGCGTGCAGATGCTACCCACGCTACCCGATCCATTTGGGGATGTATCAACGGATCAATGGAGTATCTATAAAGGCGGCACAGGGAACCCGAGGCTCAATGGACCCGAAAAGCTAGGGTTTTGATCCTCACAACTAGGGTCTTGGACCTCAAATCAATACGCAGTTTGAGGCTCCGAGCCTCTTGGATGAATACGATTCGATGTCTTGTCGATCGCCGGAAAGTGAAGCAGTAACTGCGTTGCTCGGTCACCCGAGACTGCTGTCGTCCTACCAAGTGGCGGGACCAAGAGTGCTGTTCATAGGACGTGTTTGTGTGAAACACGATCCTCATGTGACTCATCTTCTTCTCTTTTTATGTCAATATATGTCAATATGTTGTCTTGGTATGTCTTGGTATGGTTTCTACTTCATCTTGCGAGCCGATCTGCTTCGACCCAAGAGCACCGAGAGCGGCCGAAGGCCGCGACTGATCCACTGCCTGTGTCCATCACTGATCCACTCGTTGGTGAGTGCCACCTCGGAGAGGGGACACACAAAAGCTGGTGGGTGAGGGAACTCACCTTGAAAGCCTGACTACATAGTCATTGCAAGTAAATCCTCCCGCGAGTCCAACATCTTTCAACACCACCAATGTTCCCATTCAAATGTCCACATTGCTTCAACACTCGTTTGTTCGCGCCGCCAAAAACCTGTCGGCGCAGTTCGCCAGCTGTGGCCGTCGAACGGCGTGGATGGCGCCAGCTGTGGCCGAGACGCGGGGATTGCTCCCAGCAGCTTCAGTGTTTTGGATCTCCATTTTCGACCGCCCAAGCGGGTGGCGACAGCGCGAAGCAGGAAAAGACCAGTCCAGAGGCCATGCAAGCGGCGGCCTGGAAATGGATCAGTCCAATGGAGCCCAAATGAATCAATGCCTGCGTGGAGATCATCGAGTAGAGACATGGAATGATACTCTTGGCACAAATCTCACAGGCAGCCGCCATGCCAGCACAATCTTTCAGTGGTTGAAAGAACAGCACATTCACGGAGAGCAATGCCATGATACTGACGCCAGCTTGCAGAAAGGATCCCACCAAATAGGCCCAAATGAACTCGGAAAAGAAACAACCAAGAACGAAAGCGATGATGCCGGTCGATGCATAAAGGAACACTGCAACCTTGGCGCGGCAAAGAATACTACCGAGAGGGAGACTCTTTGCAAAGAGCAAGCCAATGCCGTTGATGGCTCCAAATGTCAACATGATCACCGAAGTTGTCATTGTAGATTGGTGGAAGACGACCTGGGCAAAGTAGCTGACATTGGCATTAAAGGTCAAATATGCCCCCATCATACAGCTTTCGGTCAACAGCAAGCAAAGAAGGTGTGGATCCAGAATCCGCAGTACATCTTTCAAGTAGTCGTTGCGCTCTTGATCGGGACAGCTTTCAACCATGGCGATGTATGAATAGATTGCCAGCATGCCCCAAATTGCTGACAACACAAAGAATGACATTCGCCAGTTGAAGAGCTCTGCAAGAAAGCCTCCAATGACAGGTGCGGCCAACATACCACCAATGGATATCAACTGCAAGGCAGCAACTATACCGAAGCGCTGCTCCGGATTGGGAAAATAGTCCCGAGTCATCGCAAAAATCACTGGCTCGACAGATTCTCCAATCCCCTGAAGAATGCGGGCAGCTACAAACCATTCCACACGACCAGCACATCCGCAACAAAAACTTGCCAAACTCAACAAACACATGCAAACCAAAAGGGTGGGCCTTCGGCCGATGCGATCTGATAGACCCGCAGTGAATAGACCAGCCACTGCTTTCACAACGAAGTTCATCTGAACTGTGGCACTCATCAGTCCCTGAGAACCGGATAAGTCAATGCCCATCTGTGGAAGGCTAGGCACATACTGATCGGTGGTGAAATACGTGAAGGCGTACACCGTGCCCATGAAGACCACCCAACTGATAGGACAACCATCCTTCACACTTGAATGCTGAGTCGCTTTGCCAGGCACGCCACAAGAGGTCAAGTAAGCACAAAGGAGAAACAAGCAAACGAACGTGCAACCCACCAGAATGCTGCTGACATACTCCAAGCGCATTGACAGCAAAGGCACTGCGGAGTCTACGGTAAGCGGTCCAATGTCATTCAATTTCTCATCAGCATGCAAAGGTGCAGCCAGCGAAAAGAAAGTAGTCCATGTCCCATATACATATGCCCACGTGGTAGAAATTGATTTGGCAACGGAGAAACTATTGCTTTGCAAAGTGCTATTTGCATCCGTGGTCAGAGTCCCTGATTTGTCGGGGATCTCAATTCGCAGCTTTGCTGCTTGAGTTGTGCAGCACAGGCAAAGGAAGAGCCACAAACTACTGTGGACTCGCTTCATTGGATGGATCTGTTGACATCTTGAGCCAACACGTCTGACATGTCGCGCCTCTGGTCGGTGACGGGGTGACATGGGTCTCATGAGCTTTGGTTTCATGATGAGCTTTGGGACAACAACTCCATGAACACGACTGGGCTTCTCAGTTTTTTATGTTCTCCTCTTGCACATGAAGACATCGGATTTGACGGATGCTCATCGATTGGAGATGCTCAAGAGATCTGACCGTCAGTGTTCGAATCAGCAATCGCGCAACCAGTTCGTTGAATGTGTCCTACTCGTCTCAGCGGTGTTTTCGGGTGCCAGTCGTACCGCAGGTTCGGCATCGTGGCCACAGCAACACACGGGCCTTCGTTCCAGGGTCCGCGCTGGATCCTGCACCCAGTGGAAGAACATGGGATGCTCCGTCCTGGAAAGGCCAAATTGATGTGACCACCAAACACATTGCTTCGGACATATCTCGGAATGCATTTTGACATCATTTTACAGCATGTTTACCATATTTTAACGATGTTTTACCAAGAAAAGATGGTTGGGAACTCAAGAGAATGGTCATTATAAGGGGTTCTGTTTAGTAGGTGATTTCCCATCTTCGAAGCTGTATTTCGCTAGACCTGAGTAGACAAACTCAATAGAGTGAAAGTTGGAGCTTTTGAATTAAGCACATCATTTTTAGGGTCCAAAACTTGACCTAAAAATTGAACCCGGTCTAACACGGTCCAAAACGAGTGGTTTTCAACCACTTCCATTTCAACAGACCCGTTTTGGACCCCAATACGACCGGGTCCAAAACGGTCGAAGACGACCGCCGTGGAGCCCGAAGCTTGGGACCGAGGAAAACCTCTGAACAGCGGGTGATCGGGGGATTCAGCACTGCTGCGTGAGCCGAAGGTGAACCAAACAGCAAGGTGGTGGGTTCTGAAACGAAACGACATGGGGTTGTAAAATAAGGAGACCTCCGGATTTTTGTGGAGGGAGATTGACCCAAACCCCACCCAAATGCCATTCCAGTCTAGCCAACAGCGCAAGTCAGCGATCAGCTGCTCAGATCAAGAGACCAGACCCCAAAAGCGCTTGGCAGTGCGCAGTGCTTGCTGTGAAGGGAGACAATCCACGCCGCGGCTGAACAGGTCGTCGAGGATCAAACGCCACGTCTACCCGCCCGTCGGACTTGTCGACCAAAGCGGAAGATCACCATATCAGCATGATGCAAGGAGGAGTCTTTGGAGAAATCCCATGACTTGTGCCAGTGGTTTGGTTTGGTCTGAAACGAGTTCTGAACCCTTGCAGCACACGATAGCATTCCTGGCCCACCATTCAATGTGATCACAAATTCCAAAGAACCCTTGAGCCATGCTGAAAACCTCCCCCCGCGTAAGCTAAAACTGCGGTCGCGTAAGCTCTGCGTAAGCTTTGGCGTAAGCCAGACATTTCCAGGTTATGTCATATCGATGCTGCGTAAGCAAAGCCTGCAATGGCGTAAGGTGGCGTAAGCAGCGGCGTAAGCAACACCCCCGCGTAAGCTGAAACTGCGGTCGCGTAAGCGCGGCGTAAGTTTTCGCGTAAGGCAGTTCTTACGACATAGGAATCTATCAAGGTTTTCAGCATGGCTCCCTTGTTTTCCGAGATTCTATTCTATAGACTCAAGTCCAGGATCGACATATATATTCCTTTATAGTGGACCGGTCGTGACTGGCGGCTTCGTCCTGATGTTGTAAGCCGCCTCCGCCTGCTGCACGGCCAAGCGGTAGAAGGGTCGCTCGACGTCGCCTCCGGTCGCGGCGGCTCAAGCGGCAGAAGATTCGCGAGATCGAAAAGAACATCGTGTGGAAACAGAGTAGATGGAACAATCTCGATGATTTTCACACAAGTACTATGACAAGTAGGGCTTTGTGCCAACTACTCTGAAATCACTGTATGACGTTCTCTGAAGTGGACCGGGATTCGACATCGCTCGACCACTCGACACCACTCGACACCACTCCACTCGTGCCCAACGGGTGGCCGCCGGGCCGGATGGTCACCCACAACGAACGTGCAAAGAGTGGAAGGAGTGGCAGGGACGCTACGAACGTAGCTCCTGGCCTTACTAGGAACAACAAGCTATAGGAACGGCATCGCTACGAACGGAGCTGTGGAAGGAGTGGAGCTCCGAGTCTCCGAGTCTCCGAGTGAATTGGATGGAGATTAAGACCATCAAGGTCTTCGAAAGTCATCGAACCCACTACCCTAGGGATTGGGTATAAAGGTATAACGGTATAACATAGTTAGACCATATTATAGTACCCTGCGAGTCCAAAGACCTAGTAAAACCAGGTTAAACCTGGTCTTTTAACTCCTTGAGTAGTGTTTTTGTATATGACCAACTCCAGTAAAATGAGGTCATTGATGGTCATTGACTTGTAGGTATATAGTATATGATAAGTATTGCAGGGATGTCGCGCTTTTGCGGCATCATAACCCTCAAATCTCTATATGTCATTCCATCAGAGGTTCCCCATGGTTCCTCCTCACTTCACTCGTCGTCCGCGCGTCTCCGTCGGTCCCGACTCATCAAGCGAAGTCCTGCCCGGGCGTGGGCGTTGTTGTACCTGGGCGACACATGCGACTGGACGACCCAAATCGACTCATGTGGTAAAACCATGTAAAACACCGCGGTGGGGACTGGTCAAGAGCTGGAAGGTCGGTCGCCCCTATTGGAAGAGCTAGGTAACGACTTTTGTTCAAGACTGCAGTGGTGATTCTTACTCACCCAACCGTGGGAGTTGGACCAATCTTTCACTCCAAAACTAGTAGCAATCGTAATCGTGGGAGTAGGAATCTTTCAATCGAACAGCTGGCTGGTTCGAGGCTAGTCCCGTAAACAAAGCCTAGGGATCCAAGTACCTTCTCAGAAGGTACTTGGAGCATCCAAACCTACAAAACAGTGTCTCCAAACACCTTTTGAGAAGGTACGACTGGATCCCTATAGGGAAAGCACACTCAACACCATGTTCGCAGTATGTTGGTGACCGCATTGGGAAGGCCGCCTTCCAACGCGGACGCGGACCGACCGACCGAGGTGACCTGTCCCGAGCGGACCACGAAGCGAACGTCGCGAACGAAGCGACGTAGGCTACGAGCCAATATCCAAAGAGGTGCCCACTGGATTTTAAAAAAAAGAAAAACATTGTCCACTCACTTCATGAAAGAGACCAGAAACCATCATCACTTTGGAACTCCTGGTGTAAGTTGCGATCCTGAGAAGTTGTTTCACCAAATGTGTGGCACCCTATACATCATGCAATCCAATTTGGCATGGAGCAACTTCATCGAACTCGTCAACATGCAAACCTGACCAGCGATCGCAGCATGTCACCATCACTTGACCCTCAACATCCAAATGCCCGCCCCACCCCCTTTCATCACACCTCGCTTTGTCCGTTCTCTGACATCGCCATCGCCCAAAACACCCTTCGGTCCCCTTAGCCCTCCAAAGCCCCTCCCGTTCAACTCGTCCTTCCTCCGCCCGCGTGGACCGCCCGTGCGCCTCGCATCCGTCGCCCTGAGCTCCCCCGCTCGCCGCAGCGGAAGTCCGGCGACTGGCCCGGGCAGCAGTTCACGCCTGGGGACCGGACGGCCGGTTCGGACGGCGGTTTGGACGGACGTCGGCGTGAACGTGGCGATGTTTGGTTGGGAGACGTGGGGAGGTCTGTGCGTGGTGTTCTTTTTTGAGGGGGGGCGGAGGAATCAGGAGTCTGGACATGTCCGGTCTGAAGAATGTGGGTTCTTTTTTTCAGGATTCAGGATTGACATGGATCGACAAATATTGACACTATATGTGCCTTTTTCCCCCATGGTCACCTGCTTCTTTTGTGTGAGGATGTTTTGGGCCCGAAGTTGGGGAGGAAATTTGGAGGGCTGGTGGTGGAAGTGGTTGGTTGACGCTTTGCATTTTTTGGGCTTGATGTCGCTTGGTATAGAATGGTTTTACATGGTTTCACCCTGTAGGCCGACAAGAATGAGAGTGGCAGTCTCTGATAGCACTTCTGTGGGCAGGGTTGCAAGTTGTCATAGCTCACCTCTCTCAGGTTTGAGGGGTTTTCCTCCCTTTCCCCCGGTCATGAGAAAACAAGATAAAAACAAGGTGAACCAATGCGATCCAATGCGAGCTTTTTCACCAAAGCAGCTGGTCTTTGGTCCCACCTTCCAGTGATCCCACCGACTGTTCCACGTCGACTCCTTACGCCCAGTGACCTACAGCCCAGAAGTCGTAAGATGCCATCTGGTCCTGGAAGAAGGAAGCGAGCACAGATGGAAGAACTGACATCGGTGGAATCACTCAGACACGACGATCCATGGGACTGCCAGTTCGGACTGCCGCCCCAGACAGACCCCCCTGGCACCACCCCAACTGATCGGCATATATGGCATACATGGAAATAGATATCCAACGACTGATATCTGCAGCACCCATTTGGGGTGATTATTGGAAGGTATGGTCATGTGGGGTCTATCAGCCACCCGAACTCGGTGCTGGTGATTCTTCCGAGGCCGAAGTAACTGACGTAACCTCACCGGGGGAGGTCCCAAAGTCTTGATCGATGCTCACGTAGCCTCATGTGGCGCCACATGTGCTTTAGCTCCCCCTTAAGGTACACGTTCACATGTGTGTTTTCCAACGTGATTCACTTCCAAAACCTCGAAATCGCAAGGTACAGCACAAACAGCATCTACCCATTCTTGTATTTGCCCCAGTGCTTCATTCAGGTGAAGTTGTTGCCTAAGCTTGGCGAACTTGGCTCACCAGTGGACCAGGAACGTCATTGGACGGGCAAACGCCTGGCCTGACACACATAAGCCAGCTTCCGCTGACTCATGTTGCTCATGTTATCCCACCTCACCTGGCAGTTAAACTTTTACCAAACTACCAAAAGGGGCAACACAAGTTGTGACTGGACTCTCAGGGTAAATAGACCAAAATCCTCCAGGGGTTGACGAGGTGTCTATCAGGCACCAAAAGGGGTGCCCTACCGGGTGACCTGTATTACTGCTGCTAGTAGCGATTGGTCAAAACCTGTCCCCTCCCATGTGTTGTGTGGCGACCTGGGTTGTCACATGGGAAAGACATCGGTTTTGGGGTGCGGTGCAGCGACCTTTTTAAGTATGTGATCCCCAAATGGATATTGGCACGTTTTCCAAACCATTCTTTGTGGGGATCTACCTTTTCTATCAATTTGGGGTTCTATCTATACTCTGCATCTGGATTCGCGTCACTGGAGCTTCCTCCCAACCCCCCACCATTTCCCGACCACTTGATGTACACCATTGACAAACACCTGAACCTGACAAATCTTTCACACGCGCCGCGTGGCGGAGAAAAAAACGCTCCAAACTCAACCGACGGCACCTTGCCCAGGATGATGGGTGCCACGCAGTAGGTGTCGTCGTTCTTAAAGCCTGTTGTGGTTCGACATGGTTCGACAGATCCCCGGAATGTGCAGAGGGAATTCCGCAGGCCAACCAGAGAGGTGGTGGGAGATGCCACTTTAGTCCTTTTGAAATAGCTTAAGGAGCATTCTCTCTGAGCAACCCAGCCTAGTAAGCTGGTTCACGGAAGCACTGGCCGTGACAGAACATGTGACCGTCAGTGTTTTGCCAGGGGCCCCATGTGCGAGCTGACTTGCAAAACAAATGTGATGTAGTTGCTGACCGCGACTATTTGTGTTATATAGTGTATAGTGCTGCTGTGAATTAAAGGAAGTGGATTGAGAGTATATTCTACAGATTTCAGAGGGTCAACTGGTGTGGGGTGTGCCAAGGGGTCGCATGGTTTGACGAGTTTCCAGGCCATGCAAAGAAACATCTGATTCTGATACAAGAAATATCAAGAAACTACAAACTTAATAAATACACAATATTTGGTCTGGGCAGGGCATGAATAGTTGCCCACAGCCCCAATCCAACACTTAGTAGGCATCTGAACACTTTCTTTCCAACATGTCTGGCTTACCACACTTTTGGTCGTGAATACAAGGTCTGAACCTATGAGTGCAAGTGGTTGGATCTACAGGTAGGGACACAGCTTTTCTAAAGACATAACAATTATACTATAGCTAGCTACTATATACAATACTACTACATAACATAGCACTACTTGTAATCTATACAATATAAAATGGTCAACAAATACTACAATTTGACGATCATTTGACCCTCGATTTTAGCCCACCATTCACCCAAGTAAGATCTTTGTTCCTATCAAAACAGGGACCAAATCGCTTCTAGGATTATTCATCTCCATGAGGCTGCAACGACCGGGAGGGCCATGGGCACCTCCCCCCGACTCTCACGGATTCCGGCGCCACAGAGTGTGGCGCCAGGTGCCCCGACTCATGGCTTTCTTGAGATCCAAGGCAGAGCCGTCCACAAAATACAAACGGCCGGCCTAAGACCGCAGAAAGCATCTGCATTCACCCTGCTCCATGCCGGGAGCGGAAGTACTGCCCTATGAACATGATTCATCCATTTGTAAGTTATTGCCACTAGTAGCGATGCCCTTGTTACATTTTTTTATAGTACTGCCAGGAGCTACGTTCGTAGCTTCTGGTTTATCACTTCTATCACTCTTCCAGTCCCACAATCGGATGGTCTCTTTGAGGTCCTTCACTGACCTTCACATTACACCCGACTCACTCACCAAGTCACACACACCCTCATCGCTAGGGCGCCTAGCCTCGCGCTAGCCTCGCGCGCTAGCCTCGCTGGGTTTCAAGCATCCATCAGCTGTTGTCCCTTCGTGGCAGGATTCACCTCGAGACCCGTGTGGAACGCACGGACCGGCCGCATGGTGCGCCACGGAGGAGTGCACGAGTGGATGGACCTGATTTTGGTCTTGGTTTTGGTCCACCGACCGGTTTACCCATGGTACAAGGGGTTGACCCATGGATTACCCATAAACCCATGCTGAGATGGATGGACCTGTACTCCCCTGCCGTACACAGGACGTGTTTTGGGGACCAGGGGACCTCGACCCGCTTTTTCACAGGCAAAACGAAAGGAAAAGCGAACAAACGTTGACACAGTGGCCACTCCGGCGGAAGAAACACGGGTCCGTGGTAAACCAGCAGCCCTGTTTGTTTAAAGAAACATCGTCATCCAAGGGTTCCGTTTTCCACTTCCACTTCCACGTGAGTCGGAAGGTAGCAAAATGCTCTCAAAAGATGTTTGGATCATGCAATGTCTGCGCTTAAGCAACATCAAGGATCATCTGGTGTACCACCGACCTATAATGCAGAACACTTCGAAACCTTGGGCCCGCATCTGGTTCCCGGGCAGTTCGGCCGTTTACCACGCCCCCGGGAAGCCGGACATCTGGATAGGCGTTCCTCGGTGGAGTACTGTTCGCGCGAAGTACCAAACAGGCAAACGAAGTACCAACGCCTATCCGGTTCCAGCCATGAAACACAAACAAAGAGGTCGAAGCAAACAGCAGAGTCGAAGCTGTCGACGGACTTGGACTGGACTGCGGCATGTCTGTTTTGGCTTCCGGGGACGCTGTTTGGGGCTTCGCTCTTGTGATCCGAACAAAAGATCACGGAGCAAAACCATCGATCTGCACAGATCCAAAACGGCCAAAGTATGCCGTCTTTAAACGTGTGGAGAGCACTGTGAGCGCCTGTGAGATGAGAAGTCTACAGGACGACATGTACCAAATCGCTGGTTGGTCTCCCGAAAAGAGGTGAAACCGCTCCACCCGGGTCGGCGCTTTTTCGCTTTTGTCCACGTGCCCACGCCACGCTGCGAAACACCCCGTGCCGTGCCCAGTGGCATGTTCTTCAGGTCATATGCCGCGACGTTGTAGGTCCTCCCGACTTCCCCGCGATCGGCCGCGACCGTCCGCGTTCGTTCGCGGCCACGAGATAGGGGCGTTTTCGTGGGTACCGGCGACGGAGGGACGACTTGTGGTGGGACACGGGGACGGCACGGCGCGTAGTGAGTAGGACCGAACAGCTTGCAGTGCTGCCTTGCAAGGAAGGACCTTTTTTGGGTCGAGAAAAGCGAACAGTTAAGGATGAAAAATGACAGAAAGCAACAAAGCTTCGCTGGCACAGAGACTCCTGTCCAAATTAGTTCCGTTTGTGTTTCTATCCCAAACCAAGCATGGAACACACGCAAAAATGTTTATTTCATTTTATTTCTGAAGACCTGGCCAACAGCTCATTCCATCGATGGCTTGATGTTGGTCTTCTGAGCCTAGAAGCTGCATACCACACGCCACACAGGTGAGTAAGCATGGTGGAAATGGCCAATAGAAATGGACTTACCCCCAACCCAAACACCTCAAAGCCTTCAAACTCTCACAAGTCAACGCTCTCGCACTTATGCACTTATCTACCAAGCACTCCTTAGTAAGCCAAAGTTCTTCCACCCAAATCCACGGAATCTCGCCGCAGCCCGACGAGACCCACCAGTGTAGGGCGAGTGAACCAGCGGACCAGACAGTGAAAACAAGTCAAAGAGCCGACCTGAGCACAGGAACTCACTTCAAATGGTGGCTGTTTTGCAGCAACTGTTTTTTCGATTTTTTTGGGGTGACTGAACCACAGGCGCAAAGCCCCACAGGCGGGATTCAAGAATCTCCTGTAGTTAAACTCTCCACAAGCCGCAGCTGCCAAGACGGCTGCCGCGATTGCGAAGCTGAAGAAGGCGTACCTTGGCCAGTACTTGGAACACGAAGCCACGACCCAGACGCTCCGTTCACAGCCCTCAAAACGATAGGGATTGGTTCGACCCCAGACCCCTCCAGATGAGACCCCAGACCCCTCCACAGGATTCGGATCCCCGGTCGCGTCTGGGTAGTCCCCCCAAGTCGCGCCAATTTGTTCCATGAGTTTCACCCAGGTCGTTGGCACAGCTGGTGCTTCGCATGGGAGATGCATCGGCGGATGGATCATCTTTGCGTTCACCAACGGGAGAGGTAGTCCAAGAAAAGATCGACTCCCCGTATATAGTTCCAGTGCTCATACCTCAGCTCTAAGGTGCATCGAACCCAGTTGACACGGTTGACACGGAAAACCATGCGTTTGAAGTTAGTGAAAGCTCCGGATTGGTCAAGGGAACTTCTTGGTCTGAGGCCACATAAAAAAAGATCGGGCAGCCCATGTATTTTGTCCTTACAAGTTAATCCGCCAGCAAGGCAACCACCTCCAGTCACTCCACGCTTTGGTGCCCCAAAGAAACTACTTTTCACCACACCAAACGCTGCCCTCGACGGCTTTTTCTCAGCCAAACGCACAGCGCGGCTCACATCGTTTGCCCATGGGCACTCGATCGGCAGCGCAGCGCAATGCACAAGGAGACTGGCACAGCGAGTGTGGTGGATTCTGTGGCTCCAGTAGTCCAGAAATACCTGGAATAGATACCATATCCCAGACACTCCACCCCTGGCCTGATCGGCATAATATATGGCAGTCCCATTAGTCGTGTCTGGGTATTATATTACCGGGATTTGGCCAGGGACCAACTTGAATGTCCTGGTTGGTTCGGTCCCTGTAAAAGCTTACTGGGACTCCAAAACGGCGACTGGGAAGGTCTTGGTCAATTCATTTGTGATACCAATTAACGTGATTTGGAGTTGATTGTTTTTAAGAAGCCTCTGGTGAAGGGTTACAAGGGGCTCCGAAATAGTCACCGGCAATTGTTTGAACATTTGTTTTCAATTGTTTTGCAATTGTTCAATTGTTTGGGTAATTGTTTTGCAACTGTTGGAATATTTAAAGCAATTGTTTCAACAAATGTTCAATATATTCAACAACTGTTTCAACAATTGTTCAATATTTCAAACAATTGTTTTGCAATTGTTTTGAATTTGTTGAATATTTGCAACAATGGTTTTGCAATTGCTTTGGAATTGTTGAATATTAGCAACAATGGCTGCGCAATTGTTTTTGAAATTGTTGCTTATGTTCAACATGTTTGTTCGCAAGCAAACCTTTTGAACATACTGAACATACTGAACATGCAAGTTAGTAATGGTCGGTTTAACATGCATCACATCGATGGCTGGGGCTGCTATATAACAGCAACAAAAAACATGCATCACATCGATAGCTGCCTCCATCCTTAGCCTTTTCACATGTTGTGATAATATCTGGTTCACTTTCCTCCATCAATCCTTTGGTTCAAGATGGCCCCCACAATTGGCGAAAGAGTTTCGCTTCCATGTTGAATGGGTGGGGGCGATGCTGAGCTTACATGATTTGGCAGGGATTGCGCTTGGTGGCCAGCAGCCTGCTAGGGCCGGTCTTAGACCTGGTGCTGGTGGACGTGGCCGCCTTGGGCGTGGTGTTGGAGTTGGTGGCCGCCTTGGGCGTGGTGTTTGCCTGGGGCGTGGCGGCTGTGGCTTGGCCAATGCTTTCAGGGCAAGAGCTAGGCGGATGAATGCAAGGAGAAGCCGGGTCAGTTTCTTGAGGAAAAAACGAAAGAGCACAGGGCAGACACATTCAGGCTGCAGGCTCAAGCGTCCAATGCGTCAGGGCGCCATAGAACCCTAGATCATTTGCTTCCTTTGCAGCCTGTTGATGAAGCCAGGCCCAAACCAAAAGGTCGAGGCGCTTGGAAGCAGTGGACGCCTGAGGCTATTTTGAGGGCCGCCTTTGGCGAGGCTACTGCAACAGTAAGGCAAGCAGCAAGGGAAGTTGATGGGGCAAGTGCTGCCCATGTGATCAAAGCCCGCATGTTCATTGGCAAGTGCCTCCTTGATTGTCAAGCCAAGCATATCCAATCAGAGATAAACCGGCTGCGTGAAAGAGGTTTGCTGCTGTATCACATAGTGAACCTGATGTTCGACGAGACAGAGCTGGATGTTTCTTTGAAACAAGTTGGGTCTGCAAGCTGGTCAGTCTTGGCAAGCCACAGCCAACTTAGCGTCTGTGCTGCAGGCCAGAATGTGGAGATTGACATAGCAAGGCCGCCAAGGGCTCTAGCTCGTAAAACGGCTGAGTGCATGTGGGGCGCGCTGTGCCTGGACCAAGGCGGCCTTGGGCCTGGTTTCATTGGGTCTCCAGCAAAGTTCTCTGCTGTGCTGGTGTCGTGTGACCAGCATGCAGCCAACATACGGCTGCTCAAACACTTGCATGCAGTGATGCCGCAGAACTCCTTCATATTTCCCAGCCTGTGCGCCCAGCATCGAAATGGAAATGTAATTGAAAGGGCAACCAAACATCTAGGCATATTGCCAGGTTCATTTTGTGTGTCCAAGAGCACCCGCCGAGGGAAGTTTCTGCAAGACCTCACAAAAGCAGTTGAAAAAGTCTTGTCTGAAAACCTGGTGATCATGGACGCAGAGCCTCCTGGCTTGCAAGCGATCCAAAGCAACAGGTCTGCAAGTGGAAAGGCAACTTCTTGGGTTGGACCCTGGTTCCGAACATGGATCTGACAACAGTCAAAATAGTGATGATGAAGTTGATCAGGTCAAACCAACAAGCGCATTTTCAAGGTTGGAAATGGCGGATCACTTTGACCCTTCCAGCTTTGCAGCCAGCAGGGCAAAACAAAGCGGCGCATCTGAGCATCCTTTGCCCCAGGCCCCGCTTCGAATCCAAGCCTGCTCTGCAGAGGTGACCTCTGCCACAGCAAATCGCCAACGCAGAGGTGAGTCTTGGGGTGCATTTTATCTAGCGCCCATTTACACACAAGGCGTGCGAACTGGTTATGGCGCAATCTGTGGGTTGCACCAGAACTCCGACGATGTGCCAGGAACCTCGTGCAGAAAAGCGTTGACCACAGGCGACTTACCTGAGGAAGAGTGCAGGGTTCGTCTCAAACGTTGGCTGATGGCAGGGTTGGATGACAAGAATTGGCCAGCAGGCCAAGAGCGATCATTGCATCTATCAATGGGGGGGCTTCGCTTAGTAGATTTCAGCTCTGGAGAATCAGAGGACGCTCTGGACAGAAAAGTGCTTAGGCATTAAAAAAAACGGCTGCTTTGAGGTTTGCGCTCGGCTAGCTGAAGCAATCAGTGTCAGGCAAAGTTGTTTTGACTGGAATGTGTTGAGGTTGACCTTTTATCTTATGCATGAGCCAGTGGTACCGACTATGACAGTCAATATTTTTAGTTAGAATTACCATATCTATTAATTTTCTATTTTTATTTTACAATTGTCCAAAACTATCGCCGTCAAAATCTCTACAAATGATTTGTAGAGAACAGTTTTTCTATCATATAGATATATAAAGAAACATTATCTGGGAATATGTATATATATGAAATCTCTACAAACCATTTGTAGAGAAAAGTGTTGGCAATTGTTTCCCCAAATGTTTCGACATTTCCCGAGAAATTCCAACATTTGTTTGCTGATTTGTGACAATTCGATTCAATTCAATGTTGTTCATTGGAGCACCTGTGCTGCAGTGACTGTTCAAAGTCCAAGAAAGTTGGGTTGCGCGCAGCGTTGCCTTGCGATGGCCTCCGGCAGGGAAGATGACCAGGCAGACCAGACGGCGCCGAGCGACCTAGGCTGTACTAGCTCTGCTGGTGCCAAGTGGCCCATATCGGTGGCTCACAGCAAACCTTGTCAATGCTGTCTGTGTTCTGCCAAAAGCACAGACCCAAACCCACTGGCACAGGACCCAGGTGAGGCAGAGGATATGCTTGCCACCAGGCCTTGGGCCAAGTACAAAGATTCTCTTTGTTGAAGTGGCAAAACCACCAAGAATTATGCTAGGTAGAGAGGCGCTAATCTTTCAAGGCTTTCCAGTTGAGCCCTTCTTGAAACAGGTGGCTGACGAACACATTGACATTCATCAGCCCGCAAGAAAGGGCAAATCAAGCAAGCGGTCTACTCAGTCCAGAAAGTGGTTGAGGGAGGGGCTGATGACTGACTTAGCTGGGAACGCCATGGCTCTGCCAGTGTTGCTTGCCATTACCCAGAGCGCAGTAGCATCTTTGCTTTTTAGACCAGCTGACAGCGCAGCTACTACAGAGGAAACAGACAACGCCCTTGCAGCACTAGGCGTCCTTCTAGGCTCAGAGACTTAAACCGAAACAGGCTTTGCCTTGGTTTTGGCCTTGCGCAGTTCGCTTCAACTGAGGTTTTGCTTCAAGAAGTTTCACTGTTGACTTGACTTTGAGCCTAGCTAGTGTGAAAAAATGCGGCAGGTCTTGCGGCTGGGCGAGGCTTAACCGAACCTCCTCTGCTGGCTGAAGTATGTAAGGGTAGGGGTCCTCAGGCTCGAACTGGCTGCAAAAACTGCAGAGGCAGTAGGCTTGAAGGACTGTGCCAGGGTCCACTGCATGGGTGGGAGCAGTTTCTGGTGGACCTAGAAAAATAGATTGAGTCAGATTGAGATTTTAAACTCTAACGTTTTAAATCTATAACTACTGTATAAGCTTGTTCTGAACAATGAACTAGGTGGCAGCGCTATCTAGTCCAATATGGTGCGACAGGCCACAGGCCATGGGCCCATAGGCGGTTTGACCTGAGCCTAGTGCAATTTGAGCTGGTCACAATTCAAGGCTTTAGTTTACCCAGTCAGCTGGTGGCTGGTGGCAGTTTTTCCCAGGCGCAGCTCTTCGCTTTCCATGTTTCTTTTGGCTTCAGGACGCCGGCCTTTCTTGTTGTGACTTCCTGCTTTCTGTTTTGCCCGCTGCGCCTCTTTGCCATGTTGCAGCTTGCAATGGGAGACTGGCTCTTGCTCGGCTTAGCTTT